TTAGGTACGATTTCTCCGTAAGTGTGACGTCAACACCCCCCACTCCCTAACTTTAATGCGGAATAACTACGTATTCTTCTGTTAATTTGATAAAACAAAAAATACGTATCTGATATTTTCGTGCGATCTTAATGACGGACTAATTACTTTTTTGATTTTTTTACCCTGTCGACACGCCTATTCTTCCATCAGACTCTTCATTAGATCATCAATAATAATAAGGTGTGGGTTTTCACCATCAAACATATTAAAATTTGGAATTCCTTGATGATAGTTAACATTTGGTAAATTATATAAAGGTTGCATTTCATCAAAGCACCATGTGATCTGATTAAAATCACAATTACATATTTCTTAACTGATTTTATGAAATTTGTTACAAAATTTGACTCCCCACATCCACTTGGTCCTGCCACAATAGCAGTAAACGGGTGGATAAAGTGATACATTTCACACGTCTAGAGTTTTAAAGGGATGAAATAAAAATGAAACTGTCGGTGTAAAATTACTATATATTACCAAAATTATATAAAACATGTAATTTGCGAAAAACAGAATTTTTTGTATACTATTTCTAATACATTTAGTACTTATCAGAATTTCACAATCACTTCAACGTTAAATTTAAGCACACCAATAAAAACCTATAAAATTACCACTTTAAAAACTATTTTATTCATAACACATTTCTAAGAGCACAGTGTTTTTTATGATGATTACAATTTAAATTAGTTTTTCTATCACAGTACTTTTCAATTAACACAGATAGTTTAGGATAATTTCCTTCGTGAATTATAAGTACATTACAGTTATCTTTTATCCATTTCACTTTGTCTAAACCTTTTACATAGATATTCTTGTTTTCTAGGTATGGTACGATCATGTGTTGGAATTCTCTATAGTCAATATAACCTTCACTCCAACGTACACCCCTATTTTTTTCCAACCACTCGACTTGTCTCTTTTCATCTCTTGTTAAGTATGTGAAGTGGTACGGTGGTTTAATTATAAACGTTTGTGTATATTCATGCGTTGTAAAAGCTAACTCCTTTACTATAAAATTATTGTAGAGATCCTTAAATCCTTGTACATCTAATATCATAGTATTGGGATTATCGTCTGCGAAGCTGAATGATCTCTGCAACAACAGAGTTATCACGTTAATATCAATTTGTTTACACTTAATCCAACACACACACACACACACACACACGTTAGGAAAACAACAACAGAAATACAAGTAAGTTTGTCAATAGAATAAACACTTACCTCCATGACCATTGATGCGTTGAAACTAAGTAACACAAACGTAGTATTGGTAGACGTATACAATCCACTGCGATCAAACGACCATAGACTGACTGCAACTGTTCGATCTTATCTGAAGCAAATTCCTAAGTACAACGGAACTCTATGAGTCAACAAACTTATCTCGCGTCTCAACAGACATGAACATCACTATGCGATTTACAAATCACTATAATTGAATATTCCCATGACAACCATTGAATAGATTGGTACTGTAATAAACTGCTAATAACAGTAATATCATGGATACACTAGAATTAAAAAAACATATGAAAAAGATTCATCCCAGTCTAGAAAATAATGTTTATGCTGCTAATAGACTACCTATGTATACACATGTACCAACGTATATAATATGCAATTTGGATGCGGATGATAAACCAGGCTCACACTGGGTAGCTGTACATATCGATGCGAATGGCATCGGTCAATATTTTGATTCATATGGACGAACACCTGAGCGATATCATCTTCAGTTTTTGAAAAGGAATTGTAAGAGATGGGACTGGAATGTTGATAGGATTCAGAATTATTGGACTTCAGTTTGTGGCGAATATTGCTTAATGTATGTATTTGCTATTTAAGTTTCAGGGATGTTCATAGTTTTACGACCATATTTACAGGGAACACACTGTACAATGATATTTTTGTAGAAGAGATGTCCACTCATATTTTGTAGAAAGAAAGTAATAAAATTTCGAAATAAATATGAATGTGTTTTATTGATGGCATAGAAAATCAAATAGATAAGAACGCCAAATCAACAGTAATGAGGGTGATTGAGGTTGAAGGTGATTAGGTGAACAATGGAACGTTAACGAGGGTGATTAGACGAATAATGATGAACGAGATATAGACGAGTATAATCACTCAGGCTGTTCTTCAAGCGTAGCAATACTAACTCGCAGTCATGGTGGCCCGAAGGTTAGGCTTCTCATAAATGAGGGTGCGGAATCGAAACCTGACACGTACACGTACGTTTCTAAGATTATTTAGACACCACTGACATACGGTAAATAAAACCGGCATCGTGAGGAAACCTGGACGATTTCAAATCGCCAAACCGCCTAGGCCCAGTGTGGTGATTAATGCTCATTCATTTTCCACGTGATTTCTGAGCTGTATGACATTTACAGTTGATGATAATAATACCAACCCGCATTGAGGTCTCCTGGTGGATTGTGATAAGGTTTCTTTTCTTCTTCCGATAACAAACCAGTTCGGATACCTATCAAGTATGTGTTGTTTATTTGCATGCTGAACGTATCTGAAACAAAACGTTGACTTTGAAACAAGATGGTACTTGGACTACCAAAACGGATATGTGCATAGTCGTGTTTTCAGGGGAGACAATAAACTGTTTTTTCATACTTAAATTGACCGATCGATGGATTGTTAAACATTAAAAATTAAAAATGCACTATTTTGCATTGCAAAAAATATGACACATGAACTGAGATAAAAGTGAAAATGATAATGTGTACTGTTAATTCCCAATATTTTTTTTCCCATTTTGATGCACATATCAGATTTATCTTAGAAAACAGAACAAATTTTAAACAAAATACTGTTGAAATTCAATCCGCCAAATTATCTATTGATTTTTGACATGTTTTTTTTATATAACATACACATAACATAACACCCATAACCAATCGGTCGTGGCTAGAAAGTGCACATATTATAAGTTTGGTGCAATCAGTTTCTAGAGGGAAATAACACAACATATTTGTTTTTGTAATCGATGCGCTATCCGATTTGAAGGGCACCTAGCAAATAAAAAAGTTCTAAAAATTAGCAGTTTTGGCAGGCGCACCGACGATATGTCAAAATGAGTCTCATGCTACTGTAAGACAAGAGATTTGATTTATTTTCTGAGATGCTAGTACATTTATAATATTTTAGGAATTCCTATATAATAGTACCGAGCCCAATCGCATAGCAGGCATGCCTGCTATGCGGTGACTTTAGGACATAACATAACTACGCAACTGAGATAAGTGCAGAAAAGCGGAGGTTACTTACCGGGGACCAAATCTTGCAATCTCTGTCATACAAAAACTTGTAGTGACAGAACTATAAAAAAGACAGAAAGTAGATCTTTGTCTACTTTCACTGAACTACATACATCCTTACTAATATTATAAATCGGAAAGTGAGTTTGTTTGTTTGTTCCACTTTCACGCCATAACTACTAAACAGATTGCTTTCAATTTCTGCAGATGTAAAGTTAGAAGTCCGGATTAAATAATAGGGTACTTTTTATCCCGGAAAATTTTGATATTCCCGAGGGAAAACAAAAGAATTGGTATAGATGGCGCTGTGTGTATTGGTATATGTCACATAGGCTACTTTTATCCTTTGGTGTCGCGAGCGAAGCCGCGGGTAAAAGCTAGTTTGATATAAGTTAATTTACCATTGAACATAGCGTCCGCAAGAGCTCCACAGGGTGCGATGAGCTTCTTGCCTTCCGTCGTGGCGACGTAAGTGTAGTTATCGCAGCTGGACGAAGTTGTGATCAGCTGACCAGCCAGCTGATTATCATCCCTGCCAACGAAAATAATACACATTTCGTAAGCTGCCATGCCATGACCATATCAGGGGTTACATTATGCCCTATTCAGAAAATAGTAACATGGACTTTATCGAAATAATGATATGAAGAAAGTAAATTCAGAATAAAAACGAAAGCTACATTTATGCCCTAGTATTGAAAAGCTACTCAATTTTAGGTAATATTTTAAATTATTATCTGTCATTTTACAAAGAATTTGTGGTGGCAGAACTATTTTGACTTTGACTTTATTCTTAAGCGCGCGCAAATTTAGTGGCGTTTCAATATTTGGAGAATAGTTATTTAGTTTTTATCGAGGGGCATAAAAGACATGGACAAAAAAGTACATTCCATATACACAAACATAATAAAATACACTGTAAAATAAAAATAGAAAAATGAATTATTACGTAGTTTTTAGACTCTCAGGACACTTATTATTTCAAAATATTAAGTAATGCAAGATGAATTCAACTTAACGTTTGTCAAGTTTCGCCATAATACCTATTCCTTATAAAAAGATAAATATAATAAAGGACGTTCCAAACCACGTGTCCTAAACTTCACTCGTAGAAAACGTATGATATGATCGACAAATGTATTACATTAGGAACATTTTATTCATACGAAACTGTTTTCATTGGTATTATTTGCATTTTATAAAATACTTTTATATTTTATAAAATATTATAATAATATTATGTTTTAATCAGTTTTTATCCAATTCACCCAAAAAAACTTTAAAACGGAACGGAACGTATTTGACAGCGTCTGTTTCCTGTCGAATGTCAATAGAATGTCTTTGCTTGGCAGACGCTCTGTGATGGCAGATTCAACGTCTTATTGTGATTGTTTTGCGATTGTTTTCAGATATTGTTGACCCCAGCTTATCTTTACGGACTGGCACCTTCTACCACACGATTTTACCTTGCTAATAATACTTGACTGTTTTGCGTTGTGAATAAGGCGGCCAACCGTCCCGTATTCTGCGGGACCGTCCCGTAATGCTAGATGTAATCCCGCTTTGAAAGAATTAATAAAATAGTCCCGTAAAACGTTAGATGCGTCCCGCGAGTCCCGCATACCTATTTCTCTACTACACGACACAATCACACGCGCACTAACAACAGCGCGAATAAATGAAGATAACTTGTTTGACGAAGTAAGTTATGTGTGTGAACGTGAACAATGATGTCCTAAAAGGCTAGAAGGAGAAAAAGTTCAGCACAGAACAACATTTTTTTTGTAGGAGGAATATCATCCAATAACTTCTTCCGCCTTGGATTAGACGAGAGGCAGTAACAGACTCTTACTGACTAAAAACCACCCCGTTCCTACTCCTGCTTAGGCCTTCCGCGGCTCCGTATAGGGCAACAGTCAACAGCACAAAAAGACCCGCATTGGACTTTCAGAAAGTTGGTCGTCTTAGTTTTAGATTTGTTTTGTGGATTACGATGAGGTGCATCAACTGCGGAATAGCCATACAAAGGCTGCAGAGACATCTCATATCCTCGCTTTCTGCACACCATCAAACAAGACTTTCGCGTTGGTTAACTAATGCTCAAACCAGAAATAGTATAATACTTAGTCTTTTTTTTAGTCTTAGTCTTTTATGTTTTATAATGGTATGCGATTTTAAATATTGCATCTTTTTTTCAGTTGCCTCTGGATACACTCATTTGTCAACCATGCTTCTTATTATTGAATGATGAGGCTGGTGAACATGAGAGACTACTGGGGCATAACATGGTTTGCCTTGGTTGTGGAAAATCGCTTAGAAAAATAAGACACCATAATGTCAGTATGGAGAGTCCATCCTTTGCTGACTGTCCTAATATCACAAAATACTATTAATGTGGTAAGCATTTTGTTTTTAATTTATTGTTTTATATATCTACCTCGTGTGTTCATAAGTTTTGAGACAAATTAAAAGTTGCATATCTTTTTAACTCGTCGAGTACCGGTTTTGTAGACACAATTATAGAACAATAGGTTGCGGTCACCGGTGACCGCTTGGTGTTTGACAGTTTAAATAATAAACTTATATTTATAAAAACAATAACAAACATTAAGTAGATAGTAAGTAAAAATTAAATATAATTATTATTCAAAATGACCACCCCTGTTTTTAATACATGCCCTTAGACGATTTGGCCAGTCATCAATGGCGGCACGAATCTTTTCCAGAGGAATTCGCTTCGCTTCTCGGACAAGAGCATGCTTAAGTGACTCCAAGTTTGGGTGGGACTTTCGGCAGGCTCTGAGCTCTAATTCGGTCCATAGAGAATAATCCAGCGGGTTGAGGTCGGGGCTGGAGGAGGGCCATTCGTTGGGTGGTTTTAGCCTTATGGGATGGCGCCGAGTCTTGCTGGAAAACCCAATACTTGTTATGGAATAGGGTATTAGACAGGGGTTTCACAACAGTCTCTAGAATGTCACTTTGATAATTTTTGGCTTTCACCTTGACGCCTTGTTGGCAGAAATGAAGCTGAGTGACACCTTCGTACGAAACTCCCCACCATACCATGACACTAGCCGGATGATGAGTACGCGAGACATTCCGTGCTGAAGGTGGGACATCCTTGCTACTTTTGGCATACACTTTATTGTTTTGTCGATTGAACTTTTCTTCGACGGTAAAGATTTTCTCGTCGGTGAAGAGTATCTTCCTCGCATCGTGTCTCCTAAGCAGTATTGGACAACGTTCGCGTCGCAATTGACGAAGGCGATCGTTTAAAAAGTGTACTTTTCTACGGCTATACGCCTTAACCTTGAGATCATATTTCAGTATTCTGTTGACTGAAACGCGCGAAATATTGGTCTGCAGAGCGAGTTTCTTCTGAGTGCGACATGGATTTCGGCGAAGTCGCTCTCGGATGATTTTAATGTTCGCAGGCGTCCTCACAGAGCGTGGACGACCACTTCTTTGCCGATCATGTAAAGAACTTGTCTCCTGGTATCGTTTAATAGTGTAATACACGAAGTTACGGCTCACACCAAAACTTTTCAGTTCTCGGAAAATGTCCATAGGTTTTCTTCCCACCTTAAATAATGAAATGACGGTCGCACGTAATACTTTTGTTCCCTCCATTACGAGAAAATTTAAATAAAATAATCCGAAATCATAGATATTAAAAGTTAACATTCCAAATTCAAAATTAGAAAAAGAAATATACAGCAGCCAGTAATTTTTATTTTATTTTTATAAGCAAAAAGTTTGTCTCAAAACTTATGAACACACGAGGTACTTGTATTTGTCTATAAAAATCTAAAAAAACAGTACTCATAGTAGGTATGTGTGATTATAATCATAGCTGGGCACCGTTAATCAAATAGTTAACTTCGTTAATCGTTAATCCGCTACAAAAAAAGTTAGCTTCGTTAAACGTTAAAGCGTTACATTTCGGAAGAATTAACGCAAGTTAACGTTAATCGTTAATCCGTTAATATGTGTAAAATTACATTTTTGCCACTGCCAGTAGCTGCAATCCCGAATGACTCCCCGACGGCCAGCTGTCGTCCCTGTATTGTTCTTTTAACAGGATTAGGATTGCTGCTACTTGTGCTATCATTGTCAGAATGAGTTCTCCATTTTGTCTTGCCCCGGTTAGAGCCCGCCTTAACAATTGCTTCAAACTGTACGTTCGGCAAGCATCGCTTACAAGCAAAAAGTATTTGCTGCCCCGATCTGGATACAAATTCCACATACTCAGTCAAATGTGGCCATGGATTCTCATCAGCATCACTGGAATTCGATGCCATGTCTTCCATGATATGGTTTTAATTACTACACAGCACAATACACTTTTTCTAACTAAATTACTCTCACAACAAAACATTCGTCACTGTAAGTACCGGCGCTAAGTAATGAAATGATCAAAATAAAAAAAATTCTTCACAGTTTTCTCACTCGCACGCGCCGGCCAAATATAACTAGTTTTGTTTTTGTTTCACGCGCTGCCACGCGCCACACAGTACTTGTCATTTCATACTTGTCTGAACTGGTTTTTCGCGCCGCACCGCGATGCCGTGCGGTAAATAGTAGGCATTGGATTAACGATTAACGGACTTAATGCATTTTAACGGAAGTTAACGTGTCCGTTAACATTTTTAAAAGTTAACTTAAAAGTTAATCCGTTAATCAAAATGTTAACTTCGTTAATTAACGATTAACGGATTAACGAGTTAATGCCCAGCTATGATTATAATATCTATCTTTATGTATTTTCCATGTTTGACATATACTTCTTTAAACTTGGCATGTTGTAACATATTAGAATATAGGAGTATTGTATAAATTCAAACACAATGTAATAATTGTTCATGAATAAATAAATGAAATACTTCTCATTGTACAATAACATAAAACTTGAAAACATGTGTCTATTCTAACTGGGGTTTATTTTCAGCCCTCAAGAAACAACTATGTTTGTCATGCGTGCTGGATGCGGGCAAATGGACAGGCAGGGCAGGACTTATCACGAAACTTGCAGGAATTGGGTTCGGACAACGAGCCGGAATCAGCTTCAGACAATGTGCAGGGATTGGCTTCCGACAACAATGCAGCAATCCCTAATGTTCAAGTGGTTAGCCCACCGGAGCCACCACCATTACCGCCTGTTTTAAATAGGCCGTTTCGAAGGGAAAGTACTTTCACATTATTACCCAAGTATAAGCGAGCTTCAATCTCATCTGTTCACTGTATATTTCAACAATGCAGAAACAGAATGTTACATTTAGTCCCTCTTTTCCTTAAAAGAATATTATTGCAAGAGCATAGTTTCTATATTTCTATTCCTCGCAGCTGTAGGGTGTGTGAAACACATTTGTATAGCGATCAGTGGCATTTATTACTCAAATGGATGGGACACATTCTACATTTAGTGCTGTCCAGGTAGAAGACATAATTAATATCATGAAGTCAAAAGCTATTTTTTTGGATTTCGAAAATGTCCTTTAGTACGAGAGATGACGACCAAAACCATGTCTCATAGCAATACGGCAAAAACCCTATAAAATCGTTAGATTGTATGATTCTAAACCCGACTAGATGTGTAGTAACGGTCGAAAGTAGCAACTGCGTGGGAGGCCATTTCTGCTGTGTCAAAAATATCTGAGTATCGAAAAGTTGTCTGATAGAGAAGGTGCTACACTTATTTTGTCTGATATACATTTATGCACATGTGGACAACTTATTTTATCATGTCCAACAATTTTCAGACATATTGCCATGATACCGATCGGTAAAATTTGTTAACATTTTCAAAACGGTCTCAATATTTAATGCGTTCACATTTCCGTCTGAAAATTGTTTTGTTCGCATCAAATAACCAAAATTGACTAATAAAAAAGGTTTTCAGACGTATTGCTATGAGAATTTTTTTTTGCCTGGTGTTTTTGTGGTCAGATCAACCGCTACGCGGAAAATGTCTGGTATTGGTATTTTCGAGTTCAGGATAATCGTATCTATCGATTTGAGGCGGTTTTGGCCGTATTGCTATGAGACAAAAATTTTTATCGTCATCTCTCTAACTATCTGAAATGCAAAACCATTTTTGCCATTATTGGACTGGTCTTACAGTATGTACCTCAGTTTTTAATTCTATTTAATCTTTTACCAACTTTAAATGTTAAGCGACCTAAACGTGCTTTAGCTATTTACTTAATGAAACTAAGAACAGGGGATAGTAATAGACGTTTGGCAAGTCTTTTTGACATACCCAGGTCAAACTAATCATGAAAAAAGTTAGGTTATATCTCAATGAGCATTTTGTACCCAATAATATTGGTGTAAACTATATCAGTCATAGGGAAATAGCAGACAGAAACTTAAGAATTCCTCAATCATTGTTGGGTGAACCTGATGAGATTATAACTGGAGATAGGTCCCCAATCGCAATATTTGATGGGACATATTATTATATATACTTGCAGAAAAATGCAAACTATATGTTTCAAAAGAAGACATAGTTTGCACAAATATGACAATTTGATTAAACCATTTATGATTGTATCTTGTGATGGTTATATCATAGATGCTGTAGGGCCATATGCTGCTACCCAAACTGATGCTGAAATTATGACTCATTTGTTTGAAAATGAAAATGGACCATTCCGATGACTTTTTAGAGAAAATGACATTTTTGTTTTAGATAGGGGCTTTAGGGATGCCATTCCTTTGCTGGAAAATTGTAATTATAGAGTATTTAAACCTGAATCATTAGAAGAAGGAGCAAGTCAACTTACATTTTCACAAGCTAAGAAAAGCCGTAAAGTAACACTATGTCGATGGGTTGTGGAAGTCGTGAACGGGATGTAAAAAAGATTTTAAACTGTTTAGGCAAAGGTTTTTTAATAATGACTCAACATATTTAATGGTCGATTTTAGAATTGCTGGGGCTCTATTAAATAAATTCCATCTTGTTATAACGGATAGTCCTAATGCAGAAAATATAATCCGAAGAGCATTGCGATATATGGATGAACCTAATCATCTTGGACAATTTATTAATGATTACAATATAAACAGAAGACGAGTTATGTTTACACGTATTGATGGTAACTTGCCTCAACTAAATCATTTCCCAGTTTTTACATACAATGATTTAATATTGTTTGCACTTGGCCCATATCAAGTGAAACAAGCGCGTTCGTACTTCGGTGAACATGTTAGGGAGAATGTGTGTCCAGAACTGGAACACTCTCAAGAAATGATGATAGGAGTTGTTGGAAATAATCCTTATTTATTAATAAGGACGTATTAAGTCTCGTCATGTTTCCCAGAGAGTTTATTTTTCTTATGTTTTATTTGGCACAGAATATAATGGTGATTCTGTCTTAAATGCCATTTTAGGGTACTACTGTAATTGCCTTGTAGGGAACAGGACCGTTGGCTGTTGTTGTCACGTTATAACAATAATCTGGTACCTTGGTTGTGCAAGACACCAAAACAATATCCAAGCTCCAACAGGATTTTTAGATAACATATTGTTAACAATTCAAGAATATTAGAAAAAAAAAACAAATCTTTGCTAATCTTTGTCCCGCAATCACAATTATAAAATAATGTATTTGTTTATGTTTTTCTTTCTGTGTTGTTTTTTTTTTTCTTTTCTGTGTGCGATCGAAATAAATGATTTTCTTTCTTTCTTTCTATATTCTGTTTTCTCAAAACTGGTTGACATGTGACTTGTTTGACACTAACTCATCACATCACTGTAATGTACGAGTTATCTAGGTCAGCCATATTATAATGTAACAAAATATATATTTTTAAATAAATAAATCATTATCACTTATTCTTTTGTTTTATTTTATAAATAAATAAATAATTAAAACGCCTTATGGTTTTTAATAGCAAATCCTATTCTGGGCACTTATTACCAGTAATCTGACTAAAGGTTTAGTTAAACTATTTGCGTCTAGTGTGTTGTAATAACAAGTTCCTTTTGTGTTTTGTTTATTGCAATTTAATGTAAGAATATTCACGAATATAAAACACCAAAAATTATTGGTGTACATTGAATTTAATAACTATGCCAACGCCCATACAGAAATTGGCCATGTCCTTTTGTGGTCCACCCGGTTTATCGACCGAACACATAGGTACCGAATAATATATTTTTATTATACATTTTCCTGTTGAATCGAATTACGTATGCACGTAGGTACATTCATTATGAAGGTCAACAACGCGATAATTATAATAATGAGTATCGCTATTGTTCTACCGCCTGTGTTCGCATTACGTTAGCATTGTCGAGTAGCGAGTATTTAGTCGCTCTTATTCGCTTCTATTTTTTGACAGACAGGCACGATCCATAATATTAGCGAAATCCAAATTGGGCTGTAGAGCCAGACGGTGTTACTTAAATTGACACCTCGGAATTTTCTCAGAATTAAATATAAATTCAATGTATCTGTCATTGTACTTCTTTCATTCTTCTTTTTTGAAATCCGCTGCCCAAGGAGATCAGAATGGCAACAAATCAGTTCTTTTAAATATAAAGCATAATATTTAAGCATTGGCAGAATCAAGACAATCGAGGGAACTATTTTGACAAAGTTTTCTATAATGTATTGCAACATTAACATGTATGTAGTAGGTATAATTATATATTATATTATATAGTATATCATGTATTATGTGTCTATATATTTTTATTTAAATATTGTAGATCAATATCTTTATGGACTTTAATAACATGGACATGAAGTCCATGAAGATATTGATTCCGCTATTCGCTGCAATTATTATTGTGAGAAGTTAAAAATAATTAATTACTTTTAACTATATTAGTCCGGCAGTATACTTTATCCACATGAAAAAATTTAGACTGTAACTAAATATTTATAAAGGAGTTAGAAGACTCCCTCACTGAAGCGTGTTGACATATAAATTATATTAATAATTGGTCGCTTTCATTTTGCATTTAGTAAGTTGGTATTTTTACTTCATATCAGTTACGTGTCGAGTGCACAATATGAATATATATATAACGAAATAAGTAAGTACCTATACAATTAAACTGTCCTCATGCACTGCTTAGTCACTGGGTTTTTAGGAGTGGGTTAAATTTATATATATTGGGTATTTTGACATATACCTACATAAATTGTATCAAAGGAAAAGAGTTTAAGGAAAATTAATCTGAAATATTGTTATAAAATACCTCGACCCCTGAATTAGAAGGTACTTAGTTAGATTCTAAAACAACGACCATAGTTCTATATATGTCTGTTAATAGTGAAAGGAAATTTAAATGGGTATACATTAGTTTGACGGTGTCCCAAAAACCATTTCATTACCTACTACACATAAAAGTAAGTATACTGATTTGATTGAACGAATATTATAATTATCCTTATTTAAGTACAGTATTATTTTAAGGAAGGAAAGTTACAAATATATATGCGGCGAGGGTGAGGCATGAGATCACCTACCTACCACGAACAGTACGAATTTAGATTTCAAGATACTGATTCAAATCATTGTCCTGCTGAATATTCGTAGGTATATAATAAAACCAAGACAGTTTAAAAAATGATGAAGGAGTGACTAACATAACTAAAATTAATGGAAACAACGTAAAGCCAATTTTCATTATATTATCTTACCTTGAGTTGGCGTACTTGCTTGTTATATCAGCATATGACTCCAGTTCGTAGAACAGAGTCACAGGAGCTTTCATCAGTTGTTCTACATTTATTCGTAGAAAACAGGAACACACTTGTGAATTAACTTTTAAAGAATCCTTGCATTTCACATCTGGACTTCTGTAATTGACACAGTCTGTATAATCTTCAATAATTTCATATCCGTCCGTCTGAAAATAAAATAATAAAATTATAGGTAGGTGTTCGGCCTTTTTTAACTTGTACTTATTTGTTAAAATATACTTATATACAATCTAATGCACATGTATGTAACATATATAAAAATTTTCTAAAATACAATAGAAAACGTAAGAAGTTTAAAATGGCGATATTTAGGGAGAGAAAAGCATCTCTTATTGCGTACAGAAGGCAATAAGAGATCAAATCCTTGACTGAACCATCTAACATTAGCCTCCTTAGATAATGATCAGCTATATACAGGGTGTCCCTGAAGTCGATGATCAAATGGCACAGGGTGATCGGCATGGTTCCAACAGTCATAAGAAATATATAGAAAAAATTACAAGTCATATACTTTTTAAATTATATGTGTTATCCATGAAAGTGCCAGTCCTTTGACTCTTGTTGCTACAATTCTTTATTTTTATGTCTGTATTTTTGCTACTGTTATCCTGAATAGTGCTTCGATATTATGGAATCATAAATTCTGGGCGAACTGCTGTAATTTGGAAAAGAATATCATATCTTGATGAACCAAGTATTTTCAATAAACTTTTTATCTTACTTTAAGTGACTGTACTGAATAAAATTGTACATACTACATACTGTAACTAACTGTACTGAAACTAGTAAAGAGTGGCAAATTTCATCAAAGTTCAATTTTTTTTTCAAATTCAAATTCAAAATTCAAATCATTTTGTTGTTCAAATCATTTTCAAGTTGGCGCATTTAATAAGAATTCTTAAATTCTTAATTTCCAGAATTCAAAAAATACAATTTCTTAAATTACAGATAAAATTTTTTTTTTATCCAAATTGTGTTTCGAACAATTTATTTTGACTTACTAAAATTTATTGTAGTGTTTGCAAAGCACATCTAAAAACAGTATCCACTAGGTAAAAGTCCTAGGTATCATGTTCCTAAACATGTTGGAAAAAATGAGGATTTATTGTTAAACCTTATCGTCTGTATACTCATGATTCACTCACAGCATCCGTCGGCAATATTGCTGCTCGAGGAAAGCTATTGCCTTTCTCAAATAATGGACTATCCAACACAAAAAGATTTTTTCAAATCAGGTCAGTAGTTCACAACATTATAAGATAGTAATTAGTATTATTATTTCTTTACCATTCACGGGACCACAGGGTCCCGGTCATTTGGGAGTCGTACGAGGGGCCGAAGCCAACTGCGCAGAGGCCCTTTAGACAACTTTAATCTAAATGTAATGGACACACAAACCAGCGATTATCCCTGTATGCACTATGGAAATGCACCCAAGGACAGTCCCCGGTTAGTGTAGAACTATTGTGGATAATGGAAAAAAAGGTAGGGCTATGGATGGGTTGCTGTGGACTGGAAAATTGGGAACTATGGATGACTATGGCACCTGCCGAAACAATGTAATTATTACATGTAAAAATGGCAGGCGGAGACTCGCCAACTCACCGACCGGGCCCCGGGAATGGTTGCTAGATATAGCAACAGAGGGGCAACGAGAATGCGAGTGGCTGAAGGGTTAAGAAACTACCACCGCTTTCTACTCAGATCATCTGCTCCAGCCGAAGCCTCCTGCATCCCTCTGGCCCACTCGCGACTTACGAATAGTTTCTTACCCTCCGAGCAGGATCACTGCTCTCGCGACTCCACTCTGGACGGCCAATGAAGGCAAGCCAGAGGTGGGAGACCTGTTCCTTGTCATCGTTCCAGCCAGCCAATTAAGGCAAGCCGGAGAAGAAGGAACGGTAACTTCTCCCTGGAGCACTCGGGATGATGGTAGCCCGCGTGATCGCTAATGCCCGTCACCTCGCCTCAAGGTGCCCTGCGGGCGTATTATTATTATTATTATTATTTATACCACGACGATGGTAAAAAAACACACGGCCCACCTGATGGTAAGCGGTTACCGTGGCCTATGTACGCCTGCAACACTTGGGGCATTACATACGTCCTGCCGACCCTTAAAAAACCTATTCACCGCCCTCTTGAAGAACCTCATGTTGTAGCCCACTGGGAAAACCACGGCAGGGAGCTCATTCCACAATCGGAGGGTCCGTGGGAGAAAATTCCTCTGAAACCGAACTGTACGGGACCATTTTGGCTACAATGAGTGAGCGTGAACCCCTTGTCGATGGCGAGCGGTGCGATGATAGAAAGTGGCCGTGGGCATCATATCAAATAATTCCGCAGAACATAACCCATTATACAAGCGGTAGAACACGCACAAGGAGGCAAAATCTCTCCTTAGACTTAAGGTGGATCCACACATTGCGAGGCATGCGCTCCGCACGGCGCACAACGCATGCCTCGCCAAGTGTGGACCTGTATATTCGTGGCGAGGCATGCGCTCCGCACGCGCGAGGGCGAGCCAACGTATGTCGGCAAATGCTTCAAGATCAAAGTGCCTCAGTGCGAGCATTACGTTGGGTGTGGACGTAGCCGCGCATGCACGTTCGAGGCGTGCGCCGCGTTCAATATCAACACACGCCTCGACTGCGAAAATGAAACTGCGTTTGCTCGGGCCAAACAGCGCGCAGCGCATGCTCGGGCCGATCTAACCCACACAGCAGCAGTCAAGATGGCGCCTTTGCATCGCGTGCGCGTATCCGCTGCTGCTTTTATAATTATTAATTCAATTATTGAAAAGAAAAGGAAAGAAAAAAGTCGTCGTAGTTGGTGATCTATTACTTTCGTATAATAAAAGTGCTTTTCTTAACATTTCTTTGTCGTTCATAATGCGCGCGTACATCCGCAGCGAGGCGGACACAACCATCCAAACGCAACGCACTGCTCGCAATGAGCCGGCCGCCACACGGCGCACACGCGCTGTGCGTTGTGCGCCGTGCGGAGCGCATGCCTTGCCAAGTCTGCGCGCCTACTTGCCTCGAGCATTTGCTACGCACGCGATGGCTCGACCCGAGCATATGTTGGTATAATTTGTCAACACGCACGCCTCAAGCCGAGGCATGCGTTGTGCGCCGTGCGGAGCGCATGCTCGCAATGTGTGGATCCACCTAAGTGCTCGATACCGCTCGTAAGTATAGGATCGTCAAGAAGTCTTACAGCTCTCCTTTGGACCGCGTCAAAAGGTCCAAGCTGGTATGCTGGCGCTCCTGCCCAGAGATGCGAGCAGTACTCCATATGGGGGCGAACTTGCGATTTATATAAAAGCAGTCTTTGTCCCGGCATGAAGTACCGCTTCGCTCTGTTTAGTACACCGAGTTTTTTAGATGCCAGCTTGGCCTTATCTTCTAAGTGACTACGGAACTGGACGTCACTAGATATGTCGACACCAAGGATACCTATACTTTTGGAGATGTTAAGGGTAGTGTCTTGGAATTTAGGGGCCACAACGAATGGGGTTTTTTAAGCGGTAAACGCACTAACTTGTGTCTTGGAGGGGTTGAACCGGACCATATGGTCCCGACCCCAATCGGAGACTCGGCATAAGGTACTCTCGATTTGAGACACAAGTTTTACGCGGCTTTCTTCCACAACGGAACGAGGGATGTTTGCACGGCCCGTGTAAAATGCGTCCCCGGTGCTATCATCAGCATAACAATGAATACCCTCAACAGACAGCAAATCATTGATATGCAGAAGAAACAGCGTCGGAGAAAGTACGGAGCCTTGTGGGACGCCAGCGTTTATGTCCATGCTTTCAGAGCAACTACCGTCTACGACGGCTCTTATGCGTCGGCCGGACAAAAAGCTACCAATCCATTTGCACAATCCCTCGGGCAGTCCGTATGATGGCAACTTCGTCAGAAGACTCCGGTGTCAGACCCTATCGAACGCCTTCGCTATATCTAGGCTAACTGCCAATGCCTCACCTTGACTTTCAATGGCCGAGGCCCAGCGATGTGTGAGATACACTAGAAGATCACCAGTCGAGTGACCGTGGCGAAAACCATATTGACGGTCGCTGAGCAAGTCGTGTTCCTCTAGGTATCGAAGGAGCTTGGTATTGATTACTCGCTCCATCACCTTGGAAAGAAGGGAGGTAATAGCGATAGGCCTGTAATTCGTCGGGTCTGTTCTATCGCCCTTTTTGGGCACCGGATGCACGTTCCACGAAGACGGTACTTGCCTAGTGTGGTAAGAAAAAGCGAAAAGACGCGCTAGAACAGGGCACAATTCAGGAGCACACTGCTTTAGAACCACTGCCGGTATGCCTTCGGGCCCGCTCGACTTATGAACATCAAGACTTAGCAACTCCCGCCGAATGTCTCTTTGTGAGAAGCGAACCTCCGCCATAAAGTGGCCGCAATGCGGGATGGTAGGTGGTATGGTGCTTTCATCGACGTTCAAAGTCGAGTTAGAGGCAAAAAGAGTGCCTAACAGATCGGCTTTCTCCTTTGCACTGTGGGCCAGGTTGCCATCGGTATTTTGCAGTGGCGGTAAGGACGACTGACAGAAGTTACCCTCGGCAGCTTTGGCAAGTGACCAGAAAGCACGACTCCCAGAGGGATAGCCTGTTAGCTTCTCGCCAATTCTGCCGATGAAATCGAATTTTGCTCTGGCAATTTTCCTTTTCGTAGACCTCGAGGCAACATTAAGTTCGCGTTTCACAACAGAAAGATCGGGATCGCGATTGTTACGGTCCAAGCCCTGTACGCGACTTGCTTGAGTTGTCTAGCAGTTTTACAGAACCTATTAAACCACGGTCGTTTCTTCGTCCCTGTAGTGACCAGCGAGTTTGGAATAAAATATTCCATACCCGCCAGTATAGCCTCAGAGACAGCAGCTGCGCAGATGTCGGAATTCTCTGATGCGAAACAAAGCTGTCTCCACGGGTACGATGCGTAATACTCCCGCAATCCATCCCAGTCTGCTGACTTATACTGCCACATGCGCCGCAAGTTAGTTGGTCGAGGTATTCTTGTTGGAGAATGTACCAGCTGTGAAAAACCATAGGCCAGAGCGAATTCGTGAGCACACCTCCCAGCGCAGTCAGTGGACCGAGAACTAAGCCATTCGGATACACCGAGTTTTTTAGATGCCAGCTTGGCCTTATCTTCTAAGTGACTACGGAACTGGACGTCACTAGATATGTCGACACCAAGGATACCTATACTTTTGGAGATGTTAAGGGTAGTGTCTTGGAATTTAGGGGCCACAACGAATGGGGTTTTTTTTAGCGGTAAACGCACAAACTTGTGTCTTGGAGGGGTTGAACCGGACCATATAGTCCCGACCCCAATCGGAGACTTGGCATAAGGTACTCTCGATTTGAGACACAAGTTTTACGCGGCTTTCTTCCACAGCGGAACGAGGGATGTTTGCACGGCCCGTGTAAAATGCGTCCCCGGTGCTCATCAGCATAACAATGAATACCCTCAACAGACAGCAAATCATTGATATGGTCGAGGTGGATTCAGTCGTGCGCATGGTGCTCTAGTCCGGATAAGACAGTGGTCAGAAGATCCGAGTGGTGCATCCACTGATATGGAATATCCATCCGGACGTTGGGTTAGCAGAAGGTCCAATATGGAACTCGTATGGTTCTCAATGTCCGGTATTCTTGTTGGAGAATGTACCAGCTGTGAAAAACCATAGGCCAGAGCTAATTCGTGAGCACACCTCCCAGCGCAGTCAGTGGACCGAGAACTAAGCCATTCGGTGTGGTGGGCGTTGAAGTCTCCTAAGATCACTAACTCCGCAAAAGGGTTTTGCTCAATAACTCTATCAGTCGTCAATTGCAAGTGCTCGAAAAGTCGCGTTGTTTCCCTGTCACCGCTATAAGACCTGTATAGGCACGCGTATATACGGGTGTGGCCACCATAGTCTACGCGCACCCACAATATAGACAGGTCCCTGTCTTCAACATCGCGAAGACGCCGACAACAGACATCCTCCCGATCGTACAGACATACACCGGCACGTCTCAGAAAATTATGTTCGAGTTTGTAGCCAGGATAATTGAGGTACGATATATCGGCCGGTCAGGATATCTGCGTCTCCGTGAGAAAGAGTAGGGTCGGCTTCGCAGTCTCAAGGTGTTGGTGGACTGCGTTAAGATTTCCATGAAGTCCCCTAATGTTGCAATAGTCCACTTGGGTGGATAGAGGTGCCGCTGTAAATCGTGTTTTTTTGGTTTTCGTCTTCTTTTTCATTTTATTTGGAGGGGTTTGAATAGGTTTGATGAGGATTTATTGTGTTGATAGTCTAGGAGACAAAATTGTAATGCCGACCTGACACAGGCCAGCACAGGGGTGCAGTTTATCGACGCAGCGTACGAGAGGGCCCCCAGTCCCCCCCCACTGCAGTAGCCGGGTCCACTCCGGTCTCCTTCTCCGGCACGACGACTACAATAGGGATTTTTCACGGGTTGGCAGTTCAGCCTCCCAGCACAAAAAATCCTCTGGAGAATTGGATACCTTACTTACCGCAGGAACACAACACTGCTGCAACAGTGTTATTCGGCTGCGGTCTTCTGTAAGGTGGAGGTCCTTCCCCAGTCGGGCTGCTCCAAATTGAGTGGGGTATACCCACTGTGCCCTACCTCTCTTAATTATTATTTATTATTAGATACATCACACATAGATGTATATGATTTGTCACACACAGAATATTATTAACTGCTTGAATGCACTCATATGAGACACAACGATAGAAAATACATTGTCTTATGTGGATCTGCCTTTAGATACAAATAATTCTTTTCTGTTGACCAAATGTTTCTGTACACAGTTAATTTTTTTTACTGTACTTTTCTTCAAGTTATGTATATGATAATTATGTTAAATTATCTTGTTATATAATCTGTACACAACTTTATAGGTAACTAGGCTGAAATTTGATTTTGATACCCAGCATTTTTATGTATGCATGAGAATAAATAAATCATGAATATTTACCTTAAAAGCACAACTTATTAATATTATTCCAAGGATGATCAGAGATACTCCGACTATTACTCCAACAATCAATATATTTTGTTTCAATTTCTGCTTCAGACTCGTATCTAAAAAAAGTAATTATGCTTATATTATAAATGATATCATAAGATTACCTCATTGACTAACAGCCAAAATTAATAAAACAATGTCAATTCAAAATCTTTTGACATAAGATTGATTTTCAGTTCTTTTCTTTTTATAAAAACATTGCCTTAAACCTACAAGGATTTTCTCCTGTGTTGTGGATGTGTTTACAAACATAGAATTCACAGCCCACCCACACAATATTATGTCATTAGTTATAATTAAGCATATCACACACAGAATCAGTGTGGATTACAATCGACCTGTACTTATTTGCAGCAAAATGTGTGAGGTCATTATCCAGTTTAAAGTTGGGAAAGCGGACGCGGGGTCTTTGCAGGTCAATAATTTACAGACCCACGCCCTACACGAAATGACGAAACTTAGAAAAGTAATGTAATGTTTGAACTATCATAGTTGAAATACTTACTTGAAGCGTCTGGCCGATTTAACTCGTCTGTTCCCATTTTTACTTTCAAATCATAATTTTTAGATTCAATTACTACATTTCGAATTCAAAACTTCGTTATTTTTAACCCCATGTTTCAACAATTATGGTTGATCTTATAGTCAGAATTTTAAATTCCAGATTTGACAATAGCTTCTGTCATTTTGTGAAATAATGATACCACATATAATAGTGTAGTGATGAACACAAAAATCGATAACAATCAGTGTGTGTGTTTTATAATAAATGTTACAGAAACTGACAGGATAGCGGTAGCGATGACGGCAACAATTTATAAAATAACTTATTACCATAATACATCTATCTGTTTTATTTGTCATGTTCCTTCATGATTACATTTTTTTTATTTATTTCACACACAATTATAAAAGAAAGTGCAGCGACCAGCGAGTTTGGAATAAAGTTTTCCATACCCGCCAGTATAGCCTCAGAGACAGCAGCTGCGCAGGTGTCGGAATCCTCTGATGCGAAACAAAGCTGTCTCCACGGGTACGATGCGTAATACTCCCGCAATCCATCCCAGTCTGCTGACTTATACTGCCACATGCGCCGCAAGTTAGTTGGTCGAGGTGGATTCTGTCGTGCGCATGGTGCTAGAGTCCGGATAAGACAGTGGTCAGAAGATCCGAGTGGTGCATCCACTGATATGGAATATCCATCCGGACGTTGGGTCAGCAGAAGGTCCAATATGGAACTCGTATGGTTCTCAATGTCCGGTATTCTTGTTGGAGAATGTACCAGCTGTGAAAAACCATAGGCCAGAGCGAATTCGTGAGCACACCTCCCAGCGCAGTCAGTGGACCGAGAACTAAGCCATTCGGTGTGGTGGGCGTTGAAGTCTCCTAAGATCACTAACTCCGCAAAAGGGTATTGCTCAATAATTCTATCAGTCGTCAATTGCAAGTGCTCGAAAAGTCGTGTTGTTTCCCTGTCACCGCTATAAGACCTGTATAGGCACGCGTATATACGGGTGTGGCCGCCATAGTCTACGCGCACCCACAATATCGACAGGTCCCTGTCTTCAACATGGCGAAGACGCCGACAACAGACATCCTCCCGAACGTACAGACATACACCGGCACGTCTCAGAAAATTATGTTCGAGTTTGTAGCCAGGATAATTGAGGTACGATATATCGGCCGGGCAGGATATCTGCGTCTCCGTGAGAAAGAGTAGGGTCGGCTTCGCAGTCTCAAGGTGTTGGTGGACTGCGTTAAGATTTCCATGAAGTCCCCTAATGTTGCAATAGTCCACTTGGGTGGATAGAGGTGCCGCTGTAAATCGTGTTTTTTTGGTTTTCGTCTTCTTCATTTTATTTTTTATGGAGGGGTTTGAATAGGTTTGATGAGGATTTATTGTGTTGATAGTCTAGGAGACAAAATTGTAATGCCGACCTGCCACAGGCCAGCACAGGGGTGCAGTTTATCGACGCAGCGTACGAGAGGGCCCCCAGTCCCCCCCCACTGCAGAAGCCGGGTCCACTCCGGTCTCCTTCTCCGGCACGACGACTACAATAGGGATTTTTCACGGGTTGGCAGTTCAGCCTCCCAGGGCGGAGATAATGTGATCCCTGGGTTCGGGAACTCTACTGACCCGCGGGCGGCCAGCGACGAACCGTTTCACTGGGTCTCACTGACCGCTGCGTCCACACACCGCGCCTGCACTAACATGCGACCGCATCATTTGCTTCACCGGTCCCCCGCTATCAACACAAAAAATCCTCTGGAGAACTGGTAATCTCCTAGTCCTAACTAATAATGAAGTCAAAGTCAAAATCATTTATTTCAGTTAGACCAGAATGGCACTTTTGAATGTCATCAATAAAAATTAAAGTGAAGGTAGTTGCTCATTCCAAGGTGTAGATTCCTTTGAAGAAAAACGAGCAAGAATCTTGATAGTAGTTTTTTTCCAATCAGGTTCACAGTACAATTCTCTAGTTAAATAGCTTGGTTGGTTCGATTGTATGAGAACTATTTAACACCAAAATCCACTCAATGAGATCGAAAAAGAAAATAACCTTCAGAAAAAGTAGATAACAGACTTTCTATGTAAAATACTGTCCTTTACCCGAATTTAAACTTAACGCTAACCGCAAAAATTAAGATAGAGCAGCTGTAGCCAAATGCCATTTAGCGCTTGTTTACATGTAGAATAGAAAACCAAATCTTATCTTATACTATTATATAAAGCGGAAGAGTTGGTTTTTTGTTTTTTTGTTTGTTTGTTTGAAGCGCTAATCTCCGTGAATAATTCTTTATGTGTTGAATGGCGCATTTATCGAGCATGGCTATAGGCTATAAAACATCACGCTACGACCAATAAGAGCTGAGCAGAGCGTGTGAAACCGCGCGGAAGTAGCTAGTTATATAGAAGTATCGTAAATTTTTACACTTGTCAGTGTCATACCCATACATTTAGTTTTCTACTCTCTCTGTAGACAAGCGCTAAAGTGGCGTTTGTCTAAAGGCACAGGATACAGAAACCCGGTTTCAAAAATAACAGAACATAAGCCACAAACCTTTCTCAGACACAGCATGGTTGTCAACAGTGGGCAGTACAAGCAATGCCAATGCGTCGGCGGTCCGCGCGGCCTCCCGCGGCGACAGGCCGCCGGCCGCCAGCACGTCGTGGGCGGGCGCCCAGCACGCCGCCTCGCACGCCAGCCCGCGGATCAAACACGTCCGCGTCACACTACCCCATGCTGATATCGCTTCTTCACGGACCGACCTTCAAAATAAAATGTAGGATAAGCGCCAGTTTCACCATCTTCATATTTGATAAACTCATGTGACAGATTAGTTCAATTCTTTTTATTAGATTAGGGTTCAATTCCCGGGACGGACAAAACATCTCTGAGTTTTTTTTTAAATGTCAGTGGTAGAACGGAATCTGGAATTGTATCCGGTATATGACAATAGGCTCACCGCCTATTACATTGAACTTTTAACATGAATAGTGAAAAGTGTGTGTTACATTCTACAGTGGCATTAAGTGCCGTAATGGGCACCACTGCCTATGGTCCACGTTAAATTTAAGAAACTAAGAAAAAGGCGCAATATTAATAGTACTTACACGTCTTCATCATGTAGCAGCGCCATGACAGCCGGCAGTACTTGTCTCTCCAGCGCCCTCTCTGCGAGCTCCGTGGCGTTGAGTAGTTCTGTGATGAGGCTCGCGATGTACGTGCGGATCGTACTACCGCTCGAACTCTCACAACTGCTGGCCGCGACTGTATAAACAAATATTTCATTCATTTTACAATTACTCATTCATTCATTAATTAACAACAGCGCGTGAAATCGTGCTTTTGTCGTCGTGCGACCTTGAGCCTGCTCTACATAGGCTCAAGGCTTTCTCTCCACGGTTGAGAGTTAGAGACAGCAGTTTATATAATTCAGGATCATCAGGGAACGATGCTGAGCCGTCTATGTCAAAATTGAAACCAGTCGGGCCTTTCGGAAGCAGATGCAAAGGAAATGGTAAGACATTTAACAACGATGAAGAAAATGATATTATAGCCTACCTTTAATATAATTTACAAGATTTAATTTAACTAAAAATGGCGAGTTACTCACGTGAATATACCGAGAAAAACTCTACTAGTTCGCAGTAGGTTCCTAGTAGTATTAGGGTGCGCGACGTCGCCGCGACCGCGCACGCTGCTCATGAAGAAGAACCTCTCTGTGGTTAGAAACTAGTAGAGCTTTTCTCAGTATATTCACGTGAGTAAACCGCGATTTTAGTTAATTTAGTATGTCTCACTATAGTTATTATAAAAGATTTTATTTGTACTTACATTCTCTGAGATGCTGTAAATAGAAGTCTAGCGATTCTTCTTTATGCTCCGCCACCCATTTCAAAGGTACAGAGAATATTTTCACTGGAAGGCCGCGTAAACTGCTGTACATTATCCATCTAGAAGAAAGACTTATTTAGAGCAAAGCTACAGAAGCTAAAGTTATCATTTTGATTGATGATTCGAGGATTAATTAACTTGCTACAGTTGAAAGTTTATACAAACAGCCAACAAGACAGTCTATTTTATTAAGACTGATTTGTGGGTAGAGAAGTCGCAAACACGACTGCCAAGTTAATTGGTGGACCGTGCAAAACATTTATTATATTATTGTGTATGTCGTTAAGTACCAATGCCGGCAGTAGCCAAAAATGAAATGCTATTTTTATTGCGTACATAAACTCGCACAAAAAAGTTGACAGAAAGGAATTAAAAATACTTACTTCTGCAAAAACTCAGAATGCTGCACACTATCATCGAGTACAGGCAATATGGTGACCAGGTACACACCGACTGCCACGGTACTGTCCACGTTCACAGGGTGTAGCTTTTCCATCTTATGTTCCAATTCTGATATTACATCGTTGAATATAGGTTTTAATATATACTGAGTAAATGGTACGCCGAAATTGTCCACGTAACTACTGATCAAGGATATAAGTAGTTCGTATATCGATGTGTGGTTCAAAACTTTCGTGTTTGATACCACGTCTAGTATTTTTTTTAATCTGTAACGAAAATGTTAATGGTTTAGTTATAAAAATGGTGAGATATTAATGTTTAAGCGATCTTAAATAAAGGCAGTGTATGTATACCTAATCTCACGAGTAGACATTATTTTTGGTTAATTAATTAATTATGTTATTATGGCTCATATTCATGAGCAGCATTCCGCGTTAGTCGCCGCATCGCGTACTACGAAATTAGTCGAATTCCTCGTCAAATAGTTACGTGAGTTAACCGAAAACGTAATAATTAATTTAGTATGTGTCACGAGAGTTATAAGTTGTTATGTTATGATAATGGAGAATTATAGTTTAAAAATGCAACTATGATTTAAGTGTATTCTCAGAGCATTGGAGTATTTTCGTCAAAAGACGATCGTACACCAGGTAATGTGAATTATAATGCGTCAACTTGACTATAACTTATTTGTTTTGACTGCAGTTGGCGGGGCGGCTGGGCAACCGGCTACCGCGCAACGTGTAGCGGGTTCGATTCCCGCACGGAGCAACTCTTTGTGTGATCCACAAATTGTAGTTTCAGGTCTGGATGTTATGTCTATGTGATATTGTATGTTTGTAAACGCACCTATGACACAGGAGAAAATCCTAGTGTGGAGCAACGTTACCAAAAAAATTAAAGGATTTTGTTATTTTTGAAAATATTGGAGTATTTTCACAGCAATATTCGAATACTTCTTTTAAACTTTCAAACACCGCGAGGACACCGGTGACCGCAACCTATTCTTCTTTAATTGTGTCTATAATGACAGTACTCAAAGGGTTCAGCTATACTAATATATATAACAACATCGATTAAAAACCACAGCATACTCACGTGCTAACAAACCAACTCAACTCCGGCCATCTAACATCGGGTTTCTCCTTAATTAAATTATTAGCTGCCACCAAGAGTAACTTAGCGTCCTCAGTTTCAGAGAAATAGCATTGTAGATCCATAAAATATTCTTGTTCTAGAGATACTTCTTGCAAGTTAACACTTTGTATATCACAGTTGTTTAGGGTAACTTCCCTTACTATTTGTACATTGACTACATAGGCCAGTTTCGCTAATACTATCACCCTCAACACGTCTAGGTATAACAGAACTGACTTCCACTCGTTATCACTGCTTGCTTTAGTTAAATTCGACATGATACGGCTGCATAAGTCCGTTGAGAATTTACCTGGAAGAAATATTTTTGTTAGATAAGTTCAAGCAAATCTTCGATAATAGTCTTTATGGACAGTTAGAAGATTAAATAAAATATTTTTTTTTATTCTTAGTAAATGCAGAATAGTAGTTACTTTACGAACAAAATACTGACATCCAGCCCAATCCCATTAAAATTCGCAGTGCAGACTTCAAACTAGACAAGAAAGGAAGTTAGATTCTTTCGGGTTTTGTTTTTATATTAATAATAAATTTTATTTCTCCACGGACTTGTGTCGTGCCCATGTCATATTACAGTTACATTGTTTTCGTGGTCAAACAATTGTTATAAAGATCTTACATGCTATGCTAACCTTGCTTTCTTTCTTTCAGGTTATAACATAAGAACTTTCATTCACAAAGCATTTGCTTCAATGAAGTTGCAAATAGTATTTGACGTAAAAAACACTGTCATCATAGTCATGTTCTTCAACATTATTCTACAAATCAAAATACAAAGTATAGAAAAGAACTCACCAGCCATTAAAGCGCTCCTAGCGAGGACAGGCACGAATATATTAACAGTGTCCTTCACACACTTTTCGACCGGATCCTTCAGAAAATTGAACATCAAACTTTCAAGTTGATTGTACTTGTGTTCGGCTACGGGACAGATGAGGCAGGCTGACTTGAGCCCTAGTGTCCTGATCTCAAGTTCATTGGACTCACACATAAGTAGCACGAGGCTCAGGAGTAGAGATGTACAGAGTTCTATTGGAACGTACGGAGCTATGGCCATGCAGACCTGGCTGGCTAGTATACGTCGCTCTATGGACCTCGAGGCTAAAAGCTCAGCTATAGATGATAGCACCTCGCCGCTGCCTCCCCATTTTACTATCAGACAGGTTGCTGAAAAAGAATATTTATTGTTATTTATTTTCAGCCATGATTGTGCCACTGCAGGGCAAAGGCCCTACCCTCCTTCCACTCCTCTCTATGTAAAGCTTTTTGCGGCCAATTCTTGTCATAGATGTCTAATTCGTCCCGCCATCTCCTTTTGGGCCTGCCGCGACGTCTACTGACGTTGAGTGGGCTCCACTCATTAGTAAGTTTTGCCCACTGCTCGTTTGACATGCGACAGACATGACCAGCCCAGTTCCACTTCATGCCTGCGGCTTTATGGCCAACGTCAACGATTTTAGTTGAAAAACAATAATTAAGGCATTGGCTGCCAATAAAAAACGGTTGAAGGCAAATCCTCCGCTAATGTCGGTCACCGGTGACTGCCATGGAGTTTAACGTGTTAAGAATTATTTTATGAGTAAGGGCAGTGGTGTCATCGATTGGATGATGAAAACCTCTGAACAGGGCGGTGTCCCTTCCAGCTCGGGACAAGTGGCATTTTGCAGACTTGCCACCCTGTGTTAGGCCACTGATTAAGGATCTTTACAAAACGACATCACATTTGGGAGGCGTCCTATTTGCAAGTTATCAGTTCATAATAGACATTGGTTGTTTTTGGGTATTGTTAATTTAATGTGAATCAATACTTGTAAAATATTAGATACGGTTTTCATTTTATGTAAATAAATCATCAATCAACTGTAAGAAAGTCTGACATAAAAAAGTACTATTTTTTTAATTTGACGAGGTTCAATATAGATTGGAGTACATGATCATTATCATAATTATGTCAGTTTCAAGACATCCATAAGCATGACATCTATATTGTTATATTGATGTTTGCCAATACTCGTCGCGCTCGGCAAACGGATTGAAGAGCACATATTTAGGTTTGAAAAAACACACTTATACAGAATCATCCAGTATTTTATTGCAAAGTTAAAAATACTAGTTTTAAGACGAAATATATTTAATATGCGATCAATGCCACATCTAGTAAAAATAGTTCATGTATCAAGTGATTGATTAACTTATTGGTTTACCCACATTTACTTCATATTTTTGTTATAGTTTACTGCCCGTCGGTGTGCCCGTGTTGCTTGATTCTGTTATTTGTGTATATTTATCACTTTACCCACATTTTTAAATAGTGAACATTTGTATTTGTTCTTTTGTATTGTTTTTGTTTATATATACGTACTACTGTGCGCTCTAAATTGTTTACTTTTGTATGAAATATTGTTTCTCAGTAAGTGAATTATGTATGTGATTCTTTATGAGAAACAAAGATATTCTAAACTTAAACCTATTATTAGATTACCTTCGCAAATAGTGTGTGTGTCGGCGCGGTCGGGTTTCTTGACGAGTGTGAGCAGTGCGTGCAGCGCCCGCGGGCGGCGCGCGTCCCCGGCCGGCAGCAGCGCCGCCACCGCCGCCAGCAGCGCCGCCGACTCGCCGCGCCGACCCACCAGCGTGTGCGGGATCACCTGCACGTGGCAATTGTTTCTTCCAAATTGTATTATGCTCTCATTCACTACATTTAAAAAACCGACTTCCACATAACATAATATCACGCCTTTTCATCCCCGAAGCGGTAGGCAGAGGTGCATATTATAGCACTTAATGCAATTTTACAATTTAACACCCACTTTTCACTGTTTATATTATGTTATGAGTCCCATGACACCGAATTCAACCTCCTTTAAATCGGTTATGCTAAAACCTTCTCCTAGGTATATCATACACTTTTCTGAAAACCACGCTAATCGCGAGATAACAGCGCACAAACATAATTACAAAGTTATGTATGGTCGGCTCATAATTATGAGACCCCGTATCGCTCGAAACTAATCGCGCGTGTTTGAAAATATTCCGTAAGTAGTTTATCACCTAATTTAAATTAAAAATAACTAGTATACCCACCCGAGGCAGCGTGTCTGCGACCAATGTAAGTAGACCCGGCAGAGTGATAGGTTTCTCACTCGTCACTAGCTCAGCTAATAGATCGTTCGCTAGAGGCTCGTTCAGATTCAACGTCTCGCAGCACCAGTTTAGTATCGATACTTTCAGCCCGTTTGGTATACCACTGAAAGTAAAATGTAGGTAATTAATATTTTGTGGTAACTGTATTCTTAATAGATTATTATGTAGATGGATGAATTAGAGACGTATTTTTTTTTATGGAATAGGAGGCAAACGAGCAGACGGATCACCTGATAATAAGCGATCAGCGCCGCCCATGGACACCCGCAACACCAGAGGAGTCACAGGTGCGTTGCCGGCATTTAAAAAGGAATACGCTCTTTTCTTGAAGGTTTCTCATAGAAGGATCCTCATATTATATCAACAAAATCAATTCATTTCAAACTGGAACAGTATGTCTGATGCCATTTCATATTACCAATTTGAGGACCACACTGTAGTTCATTTAAAGGCATTTGACATCATTTCAAAAAACACCTTATTGCCTATCAGTTACGTATCAATTTTCACCAAATATTATTTTCAAGATTTTCCAAAACCAAATCCATTCTAAAATCAACTCTAAACCTACTAGAACAAAGTTTACATTACCTATCGATCCACAACTCCTTGCTATTAGTCTCTATGCTATTGTACTCGTAATGTACTCTGGTCCATTCTCCTGCGTCATTGATACTCAGTGTTTCATCCAGGGTGGTCACACTACCGCGGCGCAGTGGCGAGTCCCGGGTACTATTGTCGCCGACCGCACCAGTCTCGAACGAACTTATATTTGAACCTTTTCTTGTACTGTGGAAAAAAACACATTTTGTAAATTATTTTATTGATTGATATTTATATGAAGGAATAGATCAATTGAAAACTAATAAAATTTTATACACATGTGCATTTGTTAAATCTAGGAGATACCCTTTTTAGAGGAGGAAAATCATCTAATGACTTCTCCCGCCCGGGTGAGCCAAGAGGGAGTGTCAGACTCTTACAGGCTAAAAACCACCCCGTTCCTACTCCTGTACTTCGAACCGGAGCCCTGGCAACCCTTTAAGCCCTCCGCGGCTCCATATAGAAGATACCCTTAGGCTTCCGCTTAAGGCTTCGGAATCATCTTTATTGTATAGGGTATTTGAAGTGATTTTGTTGAGTTAAGTTAGAAAACGAAATAAGCACCAATTATCTCACCACCCAACCTGCCCATCTTAATATTGAAATAAATAATATTAACACCATAAGTTTTATTAAATAATCGACACATTAAAACAATTTCTACTATAAACACCTTTGCAAGTAAAAGTTACTACGGATAAAAATCGAGAGCTCTTCCAAGAAAACAAAAGTGCGCGGCTACTACGGCAACTAGAGCATGTCAAATTATTCTCAAAGCGAGAATTACTTCCAATTTTATATGTTAGGCATAGACACGAGCCGTAAAACATAAAAAAAAACATAACAATTCCTAGTACATTCATTAACATACAATGCATGATGTAATTTGATATACATCTGGTGCTATTTATAATTTGAATGTTGAGAGATAATAGCACAATTTTTAACTGGCCTTGTAACTGTATTATTGTAGTTTTCAGTATTAGGTAAAATGTTAATGATTTTTCTTATTAGATTTGTACTCCTATACCTACATGAAAAATACTGAACTTCTAAATGTTAACTTATTAATATAATGGTGAATATATGAATATATAGCAGTTGTATACGCCTTTTACTTCATAAAATTTCATTTTTATGATTGGAAAAATCTTGATTATCAAAGTAAACAAAAGTGTTGCGCAAACTGATGCGTATTTAGTGCGATACTATACATACAAACATTTTTAATATTTTGATCACAACATAGCAACAGTCCTATGGATAATCTATATCTACACCGTGATATTTTAATGGTTGTTTTCCCACAGTAAAATGATTCTATTTTAGTAGTACAATAGATTGAGAAAGTTGTTTTTAATTTAAATAAAAAAATAGCAGTTTTACGATAGTGATACACGAAACTTGAAAGAAACCGCGAACCAATAGTACCGCCGCGACCGGCCACCGGCCGCTGTCATTGTCGCTCGCGCTTATCAAAAGGCTGATAACTCAGTATTTACTAACAAGTGATTTCCATTTTCCCTTCATACTTTATCTGACCTTAGGCAGTATAAACATAAATACCTATATAAAAAGACATTATTTTTAAAATATTCCTCGAACTGTTCGAGTACGTAGTTAATCAAACTAATGTCAATTTCTCCTGATTTCCCCATACTATATAAATTTAACCGTGGCAACATTATGTCGCGCAAATACAGCGCTGCGTCTGCGGGACTTCTTTCGTGAAATGGACTTTAGGTATAAGACTCACAAAATAATGTAAGTAAGAGCCGAGCGGTTCATTTGGGCATTGACTAAAATTGGTGCCTTTCTATTTTCTGGCGGCAGTCGATGATTTATGGAAAATATTATCTAGAATGACATTACAAACGAAATTGTCTATGGGCTCATATATGGAAATCTCAGTCTGGACTCTGGAGTCTGGACTGAGTTCTGAGCGTCGAAAGAGCTGAAGTCAAACATTTTACTTTGGTTTTTTTATTAAAATTATTCATATTTTTGTCACAATTCCTAACTTCAAATTGCGCACCATTGTACGCCGGGCACAGGAACACCATATCACACCACAATATATCCATATTGCCAGGCACTAATTTTTATTTGCTATTTTCTCTCAGTCGATAATTTGTGGGATGCTTCTCGGAGTTGTGCCGTGAAGCTCCATGAGCGTCAGCTGAGGTACCAGTGGTGGGTTGAGTAGTGGCAGCCGTCCAAAAATCTAAAAAAGTATTTTTTTTTTTGCCTTTGACTCCTGGTGATAGACTCATGTACTTTATAGTTACCATAATATTTTAAAGAAAGGAAACCGGTTTTCATATAATGTGATCAGTCGATATATAATCCATCACTTTGTGACTGAATGACGATATCTTTGTACAGAACTTATGCTAGATGTCGATTAAAGTATTAACTGTAGTTAGATTAGTTACTAATCGGAAGTAAGTCGGGAGAAGTTGACAGAAAAACGATTTTTCCGTGTATCCGCTACAGACGCCTCAATTGACGAACATAGCATTTCATGATAAGGCTCAGTAAAGTATTTTGCGGGTTTTCGACTGAGAGGAAATTGATCATGAAAATCTATCATAGGCCTTAAACCGTATACATACAAGTGAATACGCTAGCCAATCAAACGAAATGTTTATTTTATTTCAGCAGTGGCCAGTTAATGGTTCAATATGTTCTGATTCCTTGGCCTTATAACAAAAAAAAAAAATTAAGTAAGTCCACAAGTCCACAACAAGCTTTACTATTTCCTTTAAATCGTTTAAAAAGATTTATTACAAAATATTTCTAACAAGTAAATGAAGAAATATGTGTTGTGTACGGTCACCATCATCAAAATAACAGGAATAATATACCACTATTTTCACATCTTTGAACTGACTTAACTCGGTTCGGACTGTGTTTTTGATATAAGACCCCGTATATTTTTTTGTTTGTAATGTTATTCTGCATCAGTTTATCCACATTTGATCAACTGCCGCGAAAAAATTAAAAGGCGCCACGCTCCATACAAATTTGGTCATTGTCATTTATTACATGTACTTCAAATTTTATGTCGCGTTCGTCGCGTTCGCGTATGAGTTTGCGCAAAGAGTGAAAGAGAACGCGTCCGCCCGCGTCGACGTCGTGTCTCGCTTCATCGCTTCAATAAAGTACTGCGCAGTGCGCTTGCGTCAAATCGCCTCGTCGGCACGTTGGTACGGTACCAACCAATGGTACCCCTTTAGCAGTGCCAGCCAGTGCGAGCATTAGGTAGTCAGATTTATAATCTTTTACGGAATAAGAAGGCGGCAAAACAAAATTGTAAGTCTGATTTAAACGAATTTTATAATTATATTTTAATAATGTCTAGTATTAATGATTATATTAACATTTTGTTTGGATGTCTGTGTGTTTGTGTGTTATTTCAATATTATTAATGATTCTTTTTTGAAGTTTAAACCGGCCATTACAAATTGTAGTTTACCATCTGCATAGAAAAATGTAAAGGCCGGAATAAACTTAAAAAAAACTTTGTCTAACGAGACTGCGTGTTTTCACTTGGATTCTATTTATACCTACTAATTGCAATTTGGTCTAAAAAGCTAGAAATTCAAATTAGTTAAGTACTTTTGACATTTTAAATGATTAAATTACTTTACGGATAAAAATTTGATGCATAGAATTAGATTTAAATACGTCTCCAATTGCTAAGTCTCTAAAGACGTCAGTCGCAACTCGCAACAGTCGAGGTCGCGACGGCGACGGCGCGGCGCGGTCGCGGCAGCGGGTCGCGGTGGCACCAGCTCGGCAGGGTTTGCCGCACCGCGATATTCTTCAATTATTATATGTATTTATTTATGTGATGTGACTAAGTTGCAAATCCAAACAAAATACTCATTTTAAACTCATGTTTTTATTATTTATGTGCAAGTACTTACCTAATACAAATTATACTCGTTAACGATTGTTTTATGTTCTTTTTTCTTTTGTTTTATGCATAAATAGTACCTATTTCTGGTGATAGAAAATCCTCTAAAGCATGGCAGTTTTTCACTGATCTCCAGAATGAAAAGGCTAAATGCAATTTCTGTCAAAAAGAGTTTTCCTAATTCCTATAAAGGTGGCGGTGCTTATAATTTGACTATACATACAAAAAGTAAACATCCGCAAGCATTTGCAGCGATACAGGAATGTCAAATTGAAATTGAATCTTCTGCCGCAACACATATTCAGCTTTTGCCTAGTACTTCCACCGATCCAACTGCGATATGTATACCTATTGCTTCTACTTCTACATCTACATCTACATCATCAACTGCTGTCATACCTGCAACATCCGAACCAACTATTCCTCAAAGTTCAGATATATGCAGCCGCTAACACCAAACTAACCCAATACTTCTCTAAGCCGCTTTCTGCTAAAAAAACTGACCAATTAAACAAAACGCTAGTGAAGCTATTTGTAAAAAAATATTTAGCCTTTCATTTGATTGAGTCTCCTGAATTGAAAGAGTTCATAAAAGAACTTAACCCCGGCTACCAATTACCTAGTCGTGAGACATTGTCTAACGCCTTAATGACAAATGTGTATCTTCAAATAAAGGAAAAAGTAAAGATTGAGTTAAGCCAAGCCATGTATGTCTGCATAACGACCGATGGTTGGACATCCAAGCCCAACGAAAATTATTTAGCGGTGACGGTTCATTTTTTTTAATAATAATGCAGAATTAAAATCATTTTTACTAGAGTGCATCCAATTTAATGATAGGCATACGGCCGATAACTTAGCTCAAGAGTTGCAAGTGATTGGGAAATAACTAACAAAATTGTCGCAGCCACAAGCGATAACGCGAACAATATTAAAGCTGCAATAAAAATAAATAGCTGGAAACAAATACCTTGTTTCGCTCATACACTCAATTTAATAGTGCAGACAGCTTTAAAACAAATAAAAATCACTACAACTAAAGTAAAACAAATCGTCGAAGTATTCAAACGAAGTCCACTTGCCTCTGAAAGGCTTAAAAATATGCAAAAGAAGTTAGAGGAACCCGTTTTAAAATTAAAACAGGATGTTCCCACACGCTGGAACTCCACTTGCGAAATGTTCGAAAGAATATTAAAAACAAAAAATAGCGTTATGTCTACACTTGCGATCGACTATCCAGATGTAGACAACATTACGTCT